GAAAATACCAGATGAAACATTTCTAAGGTAGGATTGGTTAGTAGTAGCGTTTTAAAGCAGAACTTTAAAAGCTCAGATGGAAAATTAAGTGTGAACTGACAGAATATTGTAATAGGTAATGAAGTCATTTTCATATGCATAGAGGAAGGAATATGGTGGTAATAATAACACATGTATATACAACTTCACAATGTAACAAAATATATCTTATGAAATTGTCTGAAAGATTATCAATAGCCTATGTGATGACAAGAATGAAATTACTTACTGCAAGTTACAATAACAGAAAAAAATATGTGTATAATGAGCTGTTGATGAACTACAAATGCAATCACCATGTTCAGAAGATATTAATGTCTTTGTCAGCTCAAACTTGAAGTGGCAAACTGCTAGCTATTATTAATTTAGCAGACTTTAAAATATCCCTTACTATATTGTGAACACTGAATGGATTGAATGCACCTCATTGCATCTCAGTAGTTTCAGATTGTTTGAGTGACCCAACTGGGTGTGGACATTTGCACTGTCCAAACAACGAAAGACAGGCGGAGTGTTTGAAAAGTGTTTGGAAACAGTCATTATTTGTGTGTCATGTTTGCTTGAAAGAAGGCAAAGCACGTAATTTCAGTGCCATTAGCAGCACCAGACACACTTCACCTTCAGTAAGATCTTTCCAGCATGCATAATTATAGCTGTGACATACGGCCGTCACTCTCATCTGGCTCACAACGGCACACACCAAAGTGAAGTGTCCACTTCTTTTACACCACATGAACATATGTACAGAAACACTTGTGAGACAACACAGAGAGGTACACAAAGATATACATTATCATTAGATGAGCCTGCCTGTGTCCATGCATTCACGTGTGTTTGCAAATGAAATGTTAATGTGTGTGGGAGCGTGTGTGTGTAGAGAGAGAGATTAACATGTTGAATTATTCATCCTCTTGTTGGAGTTAATAACAGTGGCGTATCAGGGGGATCGGGTCTGATGGTTGTTTGTTCTATGATAAGCTGACAGAGCTCTTATCTCATGGGCCAGTGCTAAATTAGGCTGTTTTTTTTTTCCTGATTCAAATCTCTAATGCCTGCTTTGCCTTCTCCCCCATACCAAAGAGTCAAAGCTCACCGTGGACCAGAATCGAAATTAGGCTGAAATTGAAGTCAAAGGGCAAAAATGCATGCATGCGGCTGTGCGGTACGTCAAAATGAGTCAGCAAGGTGTGTAGCTGAAAACTTGAGCGCAGCAGTGTGTATGTGCGCAGCAGTGTGTGCCCGTCTCGATTTTTCTGACAGTAAGCAGGTACACCGTATCATTAGTACGGATTACTCAAAGCACTTCCTGCTGCCTGTGGCTTCATCCACAAGTGTGACTCCTGTGCGTCTGCATTTTACCTCCTTCCTTTTTTTCTCTGTCAGTGCATGTGCGTTTGTTTGTCCTGTCACTGTCAGACCACATACACCTCTGACCACAAGGCAAGACCCTTAATTTCGAAGTCTGCCATGCTTCAAAGTGACATGCATTAATTACAGACTTCTAAACACCTGAAAGGCAAAAGGACGGTAGGCCTCACGTTCCTCTAAAATTACTGTCCGGACAAGGAAACGTCCAACTTCATCTCGACAAAGTGCTCATTTTCATGCTATTAATGGTGGCAAATAATCCTCTCGTTCCTGGTTATACGGAGAGGAAACAATCCCTTTTTTTGATGGAAAAGTGTGAGGCTTTCATTCTCTGAGCTCAGCTGTGCAGGTGAACTAATTTCAGAGTGCTGTACCTGGAATTCTTCTGAGGAAATGAGGAAAGTCGTGTCTGTGAATTTAAATAATCTACATCTTGAGACAAAAGGACCAATCCGCACTTTGCAAATGAACAGTCCATCAGCCGGTTTAACACACTCAGTCGAGTCGCATTAAAGGGGGACTGAATCATTTAGCTTTGAAGAGAGACTGAATCATATCATGATTCAAACCCCCTTCAATGCAGCTACTCAGTTAAAGGAGTAATTCACCCTTGGCAAGATGGAGTTTTAATAAAAGTTGGCTGTGATTTTTATTATATTTTATTTTTATTTTTTTGGCTACATGGTTAGAGAAAACTATGGAAGCCAGTTTCCAAAGAATAAAAATGTTATTACGACTTTTTGTTTTACAATTCCATTTTTTTTTTTTTTTTGCAATTAGAAATTTTACATCTTACAATTGTTTTTCTATGAATTATGAGTTTACAATCTCACAATTCTATTTTTGTTACTTTCACAGAATCCAACTTTTTTTCTTACAATTCTATCTTTTTTTGCGATTGCGAGTTACTTTTCTTCTCAGAATAGCAATGGGAATTCTGGCTTTTTTTCTTATTTTATGTTATCTGGTGAACTTTTACTAACAAATAAACAGGGATATCTCGGTGCAGGTATTGCAGAGAAATAGTACGTATTTATTTATTTACATATACTAACAACAAATAATGAAATTAGTTAATAATACAAACTGGTCAGCAAACTTTACCCTGTGGCTGATGGATTATTTGCAAAGAGCTGGTTGGTCCATTTGTCTCAAGATGTATTTATTTGTTTATTTTATTTTATTCAAAAACATTAAGTTCAGAGACTAGACTTTGCTGATGTCCTCAGACAAATGAACAAAGTGTTAAAATACTGTAACAATATAAAATAAAAAAGTAAATATAACTGACTGCATTCATAGTTTACAATGCATTTCTTAAATAAACTTCAAACTGAATTATTTTCAGACCAAGGCTACAAAAAACTGTGGATCAAGGCTGACATAAACATGTTCAACTCGTCTCTATTCTATCCTACTGTTAAATACTGAATAGACCCCCGTTCCACATATAAAGCAACTCCACTACTCTTTAAAGATTTTTGAGTTTTCACAGCCTTTAGTTTAAGATGAAGTGACCAAGGTTTGAAAGCCTGACTCACTAATTGCTAACCTCCGACTGTGGGTTAGCAGAAAGTCTTGTACTGAATAAACTGAACAAAATGTCAAATGTCTCTATACCGCTTTAAGTCGGTATTAGCTATAGGCTACTGCAGATAGTGTGTATTGGGGCAAAGGTCTGACAGCGTATGGCCACCATCTTTGTCTTTTTACGGGACAAAAAACTATATATATATATATATATATATGGCTAAATATTTTGAACAAGTAAACTGTACTACCACAAACACTAAATTTAAATACACATACTTTCTAGTGTTACAACCTAGAGGGTGGATTGTAACAGTTATTTGTACTTGACATTTAATTGAAACAGTTTATAGACAATAGCTCTAAACTTATATTTGAAGCATACTGAAGCAAAATGTGCTTCACTGCTAAGTTTGATAGGTTATGCACTTGAATTTCATGATCTTAAGTTTGTATGTTTTAATAATGTTTAATAATTGTCATTATTTAAAAAAAAAATAGTGAATATGAGAATTGTTCTTGCCCCCTTTAAACTGTATTAACCGACTAAACAATTCTAAACAGTCTACTTCAGGTTCCTACATTTCAGCGTCTGTGTAACTAGAAACCTGCATCGATGATGTAACCAGATGGTGAAATTGCTTAGTTGTCTGTGAAAGAAAGAAAAAGTACAATGGTAAGCACACTTACTTCAATTTATCTCCTGTCCACAGTGTATACAGTTTATTAGTTTGGCTCACAGTGGGTGTAATAATTATTCCTCTCGTGACCTCTAGATGCCGCTAAGAGCACAATGAACACTTCCTGCTGCGCTCTGCTACAGTGGCGTTTATGGATCTGGGATTTTCTACCCCTCTCCCTCCTACTTAGTGCCCTCATGACAGCGTGATAAACTACATAATATCATTTCACATGGTGTGTTGATGCAGATGATCCCTTTTAACTAAAGTAGAGAATGATTGAAAACCGCGCTGAGTCGAGACATTTCGCCGTAAATGACTCAGTCCTGCTTGCTATTGCAACTCTCAAGCGTGACGATTGTGTTTGAGTTTCGGGCGAAAGGATAATGTCGTTCAATGACAGCGGTAACGTCTGCATGTTTCTTAATGAGAAGAATATTTTAAAGGTAGACGTTATGTTAATATCATTTTATTTCTTCATAAAAATGTCTTTCAGGTAAGGGGTGTGCATGAGGAAGTTACACCTGCACGGGGGATGCGCGCGCAGCGTGACACGGGTTGAAAAGGGGACGGACATAATCCTTTATTCCGTGTGGTCGCGAGACGCATCCCAAAGTTTTTCTGCATGCGAAATTTAGGAGGTATCCCTCTTGGCAGTGTTGCCAGATCACAGAAGAGAATCAGGCAAGTGCATGTGACAAGCCTCACCAAAAGGATTGAGTCGAATTAAATCAATTTAGCCTACAAAAAAAATAATTAAAATATCTTGCATATACAATTTAAATAAATGCTTAAATCCCAGTGGTCTATAACTTGTTGACTGTTGATGAATCACACATTTTGTTTGTTTGTAGTATAAATACGTTGCCATACTACATTCATGTTGTCATTGTCCTTTGACCCGTATGCTTTTTGACCTAGTGTGTACTAACAACAGCTGCAAACACAATTTACTTTTGTAGGTACAATTTAACCTTGTGGGACAACTTTCCTGGTAGTGCAGCTGTCATTTAAGTATTGCTCACTATGAATATGATACTGCTATTTTGGACATCATCCTCATTTGCATAATAAAGTTGGGAAGTATCTATATACAGAGAGATATTTAGATATGGGAGCTATAGAGCATAGCTCAAACTGTACACTTGACAGCAGCAATTAAATTGCTCATATTAAAAAGCCTTTCTGTATGACTAAACAAGCATGTTCGCTTAAAGCGGATATGGCAACACTGGCACTTGGTAATGTTTGGGTAAATACGAATGAGGTTTTGTTGTGGAGTCCACAGAAGCACGTCTCACAAAGCTCCGCCCTCGACGATTTAAAATTATGTTCTTGTATGAGGGACTGAGCGAGCGAGCGAGCGAGGGAGCGAGGGGGAGAGCGAGAGCGCAATCGGTCGGAAATCACTTCACTCTCACATAGGCTATCCACAGTATACACGCGCGCGGTGAGCTGCGGCAAGAGCGCGAGCCCCGGCGTTCTCAGTAACACTGAATGGTGAACTGGTGATGAGAGCACGCGCACTGGACACTACCGGACATAGCCTTGGAAGATTTTTCTGTTTTCACTTTTACGCACAGACAGTTGTTGACTGAAGGTTGAAGTTTTTGGTGGATGTTGTCGTGTGGAATTGGAAGTTTCGGGATGCTGTGAGCCCGGTCCGGAGTAGCGCTGGTTCGGGGTTTCCTTTCGTGCGCAAAGAGAGGACACTTCTCTCTGATGTGTATATCTACCATCAGCCAAGTTGCGCGCTCTTATTTTCTGACGTGACACTTTTCGCTACAGTTCTAGCGGACCCTTCGTGTTAAAAAGAGGAATTTTAAGGAAAACCAAGAGACCTGACAGCGGAAAAGGGTACTGTTTTTGTATCGACAGTATTGCGGTGGTGCTGAATTTTGGATTTCCAAAGCGCTTGATTTGTGGCGTGCAAAGGGAAACGCGGCTCTCTGTCCGACTCCATCGGTCAAGACTAGCCTACAACTGAGAGGAGTAACTATCCGTTAAGGTATATGAGATTTTTGCTATCGATATTAGCCTATATATTTGCACATGTGTTCGTCTTACCAATGTATGCGCTCTCATGCTGTCCGTAAATGAGGATATAATAGGAGCTATGTAGAGATACTTTTCTTTATTTCCTGTGCATGTGTGTAAATCATAATTACGACAGAAGTATAATATCACCCGACACAAGGTTGATTTTCATTATAATAAACGCTGAGCAAATAACTGTGAAGTTAGTTTAAATATCCCCTCAGTTTAAATATCCCGAATTTATCGATAGCCTATCTCAAGTTAACATCGCCCTCGATTGTCCTCAGAGCTGATTAGCTCGCATGTGACATGTTTTCCCTGCACTACTGCTATTGATTTTAATACAAGAAACTCGATTGCCAATCTACGCTTGCTATTGCATTTCCACATATAGAAAATAAGCCCTTGACCCCATGGATCCACAGAGATTGAACATCTTCAACTAGCTCAAGTGCCGGTCAGTTTATCTTCGCGTGGATTTTAATCGATTCCTCACTCTAAAATGTAATATTCAAGTCTTTCCAGTGCGCTCGAGAATTAGCGCATTATAGATGAAAAAAAAAAAAAAACTGAGAGGAAACCCTCACAGGAACTGCGCTTATTGCATGTAAACTTGTTCGACGCTTGTAAGCACTGTTCATAGTAGACAGAATAATGAATTTGTATAAATGTTTGTATAGGTAAACCCTTAAGTTTGTTTTCTTATTCGGTTATTGCTCGCTCCCTTAGGAGGTATCCCTCTTGGCAGTGTTGCCAGATCACAGAAGAGAATCAGGCAAGTGCATGTGACATGCCTCACCAAAAGGATTGAGTCGAATTAAATCAATTTAGCCTACAAAAAAATAATTAAAATATCTTGCATATACAATTTAAATAAATGCTTAAATCCCAGTGGTCTATAACTTGTTGACTGTTGATGAATCACACATTTTGTTTGTTTGTAGTATAAATACGTTGCCATACTACATTCATGTTGTCATTGTCCTTTGACCCGTATGCTTTTTGACCTAGTGTGTACTAACAACAGCTGCAAACACAATTTACTTTGTAGGTACAATTTAACCTTGTGGAACAACTTTCCTGGTAGTGCAGCTGTCATTTAAGTATTGCTCACTATGAATATGATACTGCTATTTTGGACATCATCCTCATTTGCATAATAAAGTTGGGAAGTATCTATATACAGAGAGATATTTAGATATGGGAGCTATAGAGCATAGCTCAAACTGTACACCTGACAGCAGCAATTCAACTGCTCATATTAAAAAGCCTTTCTGTATGACTAAACAAGCATGTTCGCTTAAAGCGGATATGGCAACACTGGCACTTGGTAATGTTTGGGTAAATACGAATGAGGGTAAATACGAATGAGGTTTTGTTGTGGAGTCCACAGAAGCACGTCTCACAAAGCTCCGCCCTCGACGATTTAAAATTATGTTCTTGTATGAGGGACTGAGCGAGCGAGCGAGCGAGGGAGCGAGGGGGAGAGCGAGAGCGCAATCGGTCGGAAATCACTTCACTCTCACATAGGCTATCCACAGTATACACGCGCGCGGTGAGCTGCGGCAAGAGCGCGAGCCCCGGCGTTCTCAGTAACACTGAATGGTGAACTGGTGATGAGAGCACGCGCACTGGACACTACCGGACATAGCCTTGGAAGATTTTTCTGTTTTCACTTTTACGCACAGACAGTTGTTGACTGAAGGTTGAAGTTTTTGGTGGATGTTGTCGTGTGGAATTGGAAGTTTCGGGATGCTGTGAGCCCGGTCCGGAGTAGCGCTGGTTCGGGGTTTCCTTTCGTGCGCAAAGAGAGGACACTTCTCTCTGATGTGTATATCTACCATCAGCCAAGTTGCGCGCTCTTATTTTCTGACGTGACACTTTTCGCTACAGTTCTAGCGGACCCTTCGTGTTAAAAAGAGGAATTTTAAGGAAAACCAAGAGACCTGACAGCGGAAAAGGGTACTGTTTTTGTATCGACAGTATTGCGGTGGTGCTGAATTTTGGATTTCCAAAGCGCTTGATTTGTGGCGTGCAAAGGGAAACGCGGCTCTCTGTCCGACTCCATCGGTCAAGACTAGCCTACAACTGAGAGGAGTAACTATCCGTTAAGGTATATGAGATTTTTGCTATCGATATTAGCCTATATATTTGCACATGTGTTCGTCTTACCAATGTATGCGCTCTCATGCTGTCCGTAAATGAGGATATAATAGGAGCTATGTAGAGATACTTTTCTTTATTTCCTGTGCATGTGTGTAAATCATAATTACGACAGAAGTATAATATCACCCGACACAAGGTTGATTTTATCCGTTAAGGTATATGAGATTTTTGCTATCGATATTAGCCTATACATTTGCACGTGTTCGTCTTACCAATGTATGCGCTCTCATGCTGTCCGTAAATGAGGATATAATAGGAGCTATGTAGAGATACTTTTCTTTATTTCCTGTGCATGTGTGTAAATCATAATTACGACAGAAGTATAATATCACCCGACACAAGGTTGATTTTCATTATAATAAACGTTGAGCAAATAACTGTGAAGTGCTGGGCACCCCTCAGTTTAAATATCCCGAATTTATCGATAGCCTATCTCAAGTTAACATCGCCCTCGATTGTCCTCAGAGCTGATTAGCTCGCATGTGACATGTTTTCCCTGCACTACTGCTATTGATTTTAATACAAGAAACTCGATTGCCAATCTACGCTTGCTATTGCATTTCCACATATAGAAAATAAGCCCTTGACCCCATGGATCCACAGAGATTGAACATCTTCAACTAGCTCAAGTGCCGGTCAGTTTATCTTCGCGTGGATTTTAATCGATTCCTCACTCTAAAATGTAATATTCAAGTCTTTCCAGTGCGCTCGAGAATTAGCGCATTATAGATGAAAAAAAAAAAAAAACCCTGAGAGGAAACCCTCACAGGAACTGCGCTTATTGCATGTAAACTTGTTCGACGCTTGTAAGCACTGTTCATAGTAGACAGAATAATGAATTTGTATAAATGTTTGTATAGGTAAACCCTTAAGTTTGTTTTCTTATTCGGTTATTGCTCGCTCCCACAACACCTGTTGCTCTCGATTTTGCGCATTTCTCACATAGCCCCACTTTTCCATCTCAGTGCGTTTAAAAATTCCTCGCTTAATTTTACCCACAGAATGTCGACTAGTCAACATTTCACGAGACGCACTGATATCTTTCCTTGTACTCAGTCACCAGTAATCGTTACTGAACAATCGAAAGCATTGCCTTTCACAACAGCGGAATCCGGTCTTTCTGGCCGCTCCCGTCGTCGGGTTGCTTTTAAACCTGTTCGTCCGGCTGAGAGAAACAGGTGTGAAAACACGGCAAGGCTTGAGCTTTATTCCGCCCAGCTGTGATCGGACATCTCGGTTCTTTCTGTGGTTCATTTGTAGGCAAAGCGTTCAGCCGGATGTAATATTGTACAGAAGCCCGCAATGGCTTGCAAATGACCTGGTCTAACTCGGAGCGCATTCATCCGCAGGTAAAGTCATTTCCTTTCCGCTCTCATCGAGATCGTGTTCTGTAGGCATCAGCACAACACACAGGCACTTGAGTGAGATCCTCGTGCTGTTCCAGTATATTATTGATCTGTGGATATTATAAACACCTTCTCTTGTTTTCCTCCTCCGTTTCTTTAATGTACCGAAACTATTTTCGTCGCTCAATCTGGACAGTTATAGGTGAATGCGATTTGCATTTATAGAATGGGGGATGGGGGCGGCTGACCACCTATAAAGATTTGTACTTCCAAAGGAAGTCAAAACCAAAGTGTTGTGGTCTTCATGCATGTTTCAACGTTTCAGTGGGATTTTAAGTAATCACAAAAGTTAGAAGTTAGTCAGGGCGGCTCGTATTTTCACATAGGCGCTTGCGAGTCGCGAACAGAAATCGCGTTGTCTGAGGAGGAAACCATAGCAACAGCAGACCGCTGAGCCTTTCGGACGGTACGTTGACAAAACATAAATGCTATCATGTTTTATCAGTTTATTATAGATTTGCGTTTCGAAATATATATAACAAGAACTTTAATGTTTTGATTAAGACCCCTTTTAGTTGTGTTATAGTTGGCGTTTGGACGTATGTGCCCTGTCAGGCTCAACTAATTGCGTCCTGCTAGTCTTCTATACAATGTCCCTTTAAAAAGTTGAAAGACATCGAATAATTCGCTCATATCGGGCATTTGATCATGATACAACGTGTCTCCTCATTATAGCCAGCCCTTAGTAAACTTGATGGGCGTAAACGCTCCACACTGAGTACGAGAGTCCAGCGAAACGGGAAGAAATGAGACTCCTCACGCACACACTGAGAGACACATTTAAGGTGATCGCTTGAATGAACCGAAACTTCAACATTCTAGAAAGCCGAGATTATGCTTGCACATTTAAGCTTGATGTTTTCATTGAGATTAAAGTGTGGCTACCTCACTTATTCCAAGTGACCTCCTGTAAATGTTTTTAATTTGGCACTTATTACAAATTACATGTAGATTTGACTGTAAATGAAGGGAAGCTGGACAGAGTGGTAGTGAAGTAGGCAACAATATACACTGTACTGTCCCCAATTGAACGGTAAAACTCAAAGGTTACAAGATGCATGCTTGAAGAGTTTCTAGTCTTTACTGTCATCGTTTTTTTCTTTTTCTTTTTCTTTTTATCTTTTTGATTAATAGCAAGCTATAACCTAGTGTTGAGCTTCACCGTTCCTCATTATTTTCCCATTTTGACATAGTTTCAAAATAAATACATATACATTAAGTAAAAATATTATGCCTATTTTGCTAATTGTATTACAATTTTATTAATTTTATCCTCTCCTTGCACCTGGTCTGTTTAACCCATAATATTAGCAGCAGTCCTCCCGTCTTTGTCTGTCAGTGTGTGTGTGTATATGTTTATGTGTGTGTTTAGCCGTGTGTAATGTGTGTGAGAGTTTGTGTGCCAGCCTTGGTAGACAGCAGCGGGGCAGCAGTTCATCTCATCTGAAAGCGGGTGCAGACTAATCTGGCCCCGCAATGGCTGAATGAAATAATTAAAGTAATCCTCTGTGCCTCGCACTTGGCTAGGGAGGGGGGCCTTGGACCACCCATCCTGAACGGGTCACTGAACACCGTGGAGCTGGTGGCCCGTAGAGCCTAGATGGCTGCAGCCGAGGACAAAAGCTCATATGAACTCAACTCATTGGCTGTGGGCGCTGGCATCAAAGTCTTGACACACTCACTGTTTAGAATGTGGTTGGTTAGTGTTTATCGCCTGCTGAACTACTTCATTTTATCTCATTTATGTGGTTTCAGGAGGATTCGTTTTCGTGGTCTTCATGAGAATGAGCGCGTATGAATGCGTTTTATTCACAGGTCACTACACACTTTTTCGATCTCCTTGCTGATTAATCAGCAACATTATTCAATTGGTTAGTCTATCGGCTTACCTCGTGTAACAGTAAGCAAATAAATCTTCGGCTTTTATGCTATATTTTTCGAATACGCACTTCAGGTGCGCACTAAAATGTCAGTTGAGCCGGATGAGTTAACCATTAACCTAGGACAGATGCTGCACTCACACTTCCTTCTGAGTCAATCATTCTCCTGGCTTCAGACAAGAGCTGACTCCTGAACCCTCATAAATGTCACCGCTTTAAATTAATTCTTTAATTATCGTGTTGAAACCGGGATGGGGAGGGGTTAGAACAATCATTGACTGAGTGCGTTGCCATGACGCAGTGCCACCGCTGTGCCTCATCCAGGAATCCGACTCCTGCCACGTTGGTTACATAAATGCTTTTATTGCTTTATTTTCCCTAGAATCACCTTGCTGTTTCATGCTGAGCTGGATGCCACCTGATGGGGGGGGTTCTTGGCAGAGGTATGCCATCCTCATATTCCCATGGGGTTTTTTTGCTGGCAGAGGAAGGGTGAGCGTTGGTACAATGATGAATTCCTTGTTACAAGTCTCTAAAGAAGAAAGAAGGAGAGCGAGACCGTGAGAGTGAGGGAGAGAGAAAATCATACAGCAATTTTAAAGCATGTCAGCGGGGGAGGCTTTAGAATAGTAATTAGCCTGTTAAATCTGTTAACCTCCCCCTGCGCAACAACACAATGGACAGTATATATATGAGCACGTCTCTGAGAGGGCACGGTAGGGCATAAAAGGACGGTGTGCGTATGAAAGAGGAAGACAGAGAGATGTAGGAGGTGTTGTTACAAGAGACCAGGTGTGAAATGAACATAATGTGGTTTTTGCGGACAGGAAATGAGAGGGGAACCGCGTTCCCCGAAAATTCTGGCCAAATGTACTGTGAATAATCTGTAAAGAGCCGACAGTTAGACTCCATAGGGGGAACGCCGATTCACGCCTTCCTTTGCACTCACAGCTATTGATTAAATTAATGACATCCAGCTTATACACAGCAGTACAATATGAATTAGGCTACACAGCCTGAGAGCCGAGCATAAATTCTCACAGGATTATGACAGTAGTCATAAATACCGCACTCTGGCGACGCCTGTCTCCCTGCGAGGAGATCTTAGCTGCGGCTCGACAATGGCGCATTTGAAGACGTTATTAGAGAGGTGGACGGTGCGTGTTGATTTAGGGCCTGTCATAAATCGCCTCTCTGACCATGTAATGATGACGATCAAAGCTCGGAGGTGAAGAAAAGCCCCACCGACGGCCTATTGTCATTGTAATGGCTAGGCTTTTTGTGTACCTGTGTGAAAGCTAAGTGCGAACTCTCTGCAACTGAAAGGAAAGCTGTCTGCTATGTAGCAGTGCTTGATTTGACTCTGTTAGGGCCTCCTGTGTCTTGTAAATGTTGCTGTCGTTAAGGCACGCCACTCATATGCACTTATGCATTTCCATTACAAAGAAGAGTTCTTAGCCAAAAGCCAGAGCCATTGCCACCCTTAAATTTCATATACTCAAACACGTTCAGTTGTTTTCTTTTTTTTCATGACCTTCATGTTTTCTCTAACATTTTCCATTTTCCCTAGTTTGTGCTCGCAAACACTCGCTGACATTCCTTTGCTGTGGTTGTTTTTAGATCTTGTGTGTAACTTTTACACACCCACAGATGTACGGCGCATACATATGTGCACACGCGTGCTCACATTCAGAGAAGAGTGTGGGAAAGGATGCCTACGGCCCACATTGGGGTTCCCAGCGTACAGTGACCCTTAACACAGACTCTTTATGCTGGGCCCTGGAGAGTGAATGTCATGAGAACTTCTTAAACCCTTCATCGCAACAAACAGATTCACACGCTTTTCATGTTGCGAGAATGTTTTTGAGCTTTATTGACTTTTCCAGCGCACGATAAAGATGGGATGTTTTGGTTTAGTTTATATATAGTTCTTGTCCTTTTTGTTTAAACAAATAGCATTTTAGCACCATTTTTGACCCTGTGCTTTTGAAGTCCCTGCCCTGCTTTTTTACATTGACCTTTTTCTTCATCAACACATGGTACAAAATTCAACACGCACCTTCAGCAGAGACTCTGACACATCACTGTGAAATGCCACCTCCATAAGATGGTCATTCGAAACCACAATGAGAGATAGGTTGTTTTAAAGGTGAGGTATTTTTCACCTCTCCAGCCTCCATTGCGGTCTGCGCTGTTTAATTAGCCGCATGAAAGTGTGCCAGAGTCGTCTGTCTCGACAGATTCAGAATTAGAACTGTGAAATTAGTAAGAAACGAGTCAAGCTCTCATCATATGTGTGATCAGGGTCACACATCCCACCATTAATTTCAGCCTCATTAGTGCATTGTTCTCCCTACAGTGTCGTTGCCTTGTGGCTGCAGTTGTGTGAGTGTGTTTGTAGTCACTGGTGTCTAATTTGTGTATATTAAAACTGCCTTTAGTGGAGCGTATAGAGGAGCGTGTGCTTGTTGCAGTTACCTTAGCCGTTTTTGATGCTCTAACCACACATGCTTTGGTAATGTGTTTGTGAAAGGCTCGCTGTCATGTGTCTGCTAATGGAAAAATATTGAATGGTACATGCACTAAACTACTACAACCAATCAATACTGATGAGTGTATGGAAGAAGCCACTTCCTATTAGTCACCAAATGGCTGCACCAATATGCTGACAGTCATTTTTCTTTGTATATTTGTGGTTTTTAACAAAGTTATGCAATGATATTTTTTCCAACCTCATGGAAGGTGACATTTAAAGACTGATTTTGATTCTTTAGGTTTGGTATTCACAGGCAGAATGTAACTGGTGGCAGCGCTCTCACATCCCCATTGGTTCACCGCTGGGTCGAGTTAAGGTGTCTGTCTCCTCTGGACAGTAATCTAGCAGCTCTGCCTCATTAGCCATGGGGAGCATGGTGGGATAACATTCCACATATGTTACAGGGGTCTGCAATTACCACAACGGGAAACATCAAAGTAACATGACCTTAAACGTGATGGATTAACGGAATCTGATTTATTTATTTGATTGTTCTTTTTCGTGTTCTTTTGCAGTACCTCACGCTGAGGTTGTTAATGTTTGGTAAAGTGGCAGGAGGGGGCTGTTGTCAAGACACCCTCTATAGCCCGTCTCTCACCTCTCCGTGGTTGTGTGATGTTGCAACAAATTGGGAGCCATTTGCTGTGAATAGCTATCAGCTGAAGTGGCCATTGGAAGATTAGAAAACCACACTCTTCTACCATGTGTTCAATAACTTAAAGACATGAAAGGGAAGATTCACATGTGATACTGTTTTCAAGAAACCATGATTTTGGTTTCATTTCTCTTTTTTTAAATCATTTTTGTTTTTCCCCCTATGGTCCTAAAATAGTGGTGGTCTTTCTTTGTCTGTCTACTATTCTGTCTCTTTGCACACCCTGTTTATCTGCAGAGTAAAACATTTGTGTAAAATATGAGTTAGAAGAAGAACACAGTGAGAAGACGAGACGTTTGCGAAGGAAGTGGGCAAGAAACACTCCAAGAAACAGTGAGATGTGTGTGAAGGAAGCGGGCTGGAAACTTTTTGAAAATAATAATACAATAATTATTTAATAATAAAATAAATATAAAACCAAAGATTTACCACCAGATATTTGGTTTTATAGGCCTATTTAATTTTATGAATTATTTTAGTTAATTGTTTTATTGTTTTGCCCCCCGGGTTTTACTGTGTTTTGGGATTTAATCTTATTACGGTATAAATTACAGCTTTTAGAAAAAGGACGAATTGACCTAAGGTAACTAAAATATCTAACAATTAAAAAAAATGAAGAACAGATTTATTTCTATAAGCTGAAAGTAATATGGGCCTAAGATTTGTACTGCCTAAGATTTTTTGATATATGATTTTAGATATATAAATGTTATTTGGTTTTGGCTGAAATAATGCATACGCCTCGGGGAAAAATAGTCTTATGGTTGATTTTGATGGATTTCACGTTTTCATTGACCCCAGGCATGGTTCTAGAAATGAGAGCTGAGACAGTTTATCAATAGCTTGTAAAAGGTAGATCAAGCAGAGTAACAGCATTATTTGAATGGACATCACTTGTCTGCTAGCTTCCTCCTCTCGTAGGGTCAGTCAGCCAATGCATCTCTCAGGAATATGGACATATGTTGTCTTTATGAATTAGACATGACGTGAAGTTTGCAGAATGAAGGTCAAACACAAGTAACTGTTTGTGACACATTTACTGCCTCTAAAAAGGAGAGGTTTACAACACATGAAGGGGCGATCAATCATAAATCCCAGGGAATCAGTACCATAAAACTCTGTGGCTGCCGTCGCTTTACAGGCTTTTTGGCACTGTCAGAGACTTTGAAGGATTATGTCTGAAGAATGAATGTTTCTCTAATCTTATTTGTTTGTTTGCTTGATCTTTTGCAGCAACAGACTGATGATGTGCCAGAGTGCCAATGCAATGTGGTCACGGTGGAGTGCCATGCTAGTGTGGATTTTCCTTCTCCTCTGTTGCTCTGCAAATGTTGTCAGCACCATCATCTACCAGGTGACTGAGGAGCAGCCGCCTAACACACTGATTGGCAGCTTGGCATCTGACCAGGGCCTGCCAGACACTGGTCACCTTTACAAGCTTGAGGTGGGCGCTCCTTACCTCCGTGTGGATGGCAAAACAGGGGATATCTACACCACAGAGACCCCGATCGATCGTGAGACTCTCAAGGACTGTCGCAACCTTTTCGAGGGCGATCCTTGTTTCTTAGAATTTGAGGTATCTATTACAGACCTGATGAAAGGCACAGGACCTCGACTCATCGAAGGCCGCATCGAGATCTTGGATGAGAATGACAACACTCCACAGTTCTCTTCACCCGTCTTGACATTGTCGATCCCGGAGAACACGCACGTCGGTGCGCTTTTTGCCATACCTGTGGCCACTGACAAGGATTCTGGAAGCAATGGCATTGCCGATTATGCGCTAACAACTGGCCCTGAAGCTGCCAACCTTTTCAGCCTGCAGGTGGCGCAAGACTCAGATGAGAAATTGCCACAGCTCATTGTATTGGGAAACCTGGATAGAGAGCAGCGAGATTCATATGACCTCAACATAAAAGTGGTCGATGGTGGCTCTCCACCCCGCCAGAGTAGCGCCCTGCTCAGGATCACCATTACAGATGCCAATGACAACGTGCCCAAATTTGAGAAGTCACATTATGAGGGTGAGCTCCCCGAAAACAGCCCAGTGGGTCATTCTGTTCTACAAGTAAGTAATCTATTTTTTTACGTCATACTTTCTATCTAAAACTAAACAAATGTAATTTAAAGCTAAAGTCTGGAAAATTATATATGCTTTGAATGCATTGTATTTCACGTTGCATGAATGTGTCTGCTGAATTCATAATAAATTATTATTATAATTATTATTATATTTTAATTTAATACTTTTATACAGTGACTATTTATGTATATTTAATGTTTATTATATAAAATATGAATGAAGTAAATATGTCATGACACAAGTGTCTCAATAAACTCACCTGTAAGCAAGTATATGCTATGATAAACCTTTAGATTGAGCAATAAGTAATGGAGCTGATTTGACAGCATGGCAATAGAAGTGCACTCAAACCCCACATACAGAACCTGACAAGCTCTTGTAAATGGAAGTCTCAGTTATCCCGATGGGCTTTAGCCTCTGTTCCCACACAACAGGGTTAAAGCGGAAAAAATGGGAAAGCCAAATCATATTTTCACAGGCAATCGATTGATCCCTCATGGTCCCTTTAAATACAAGCTTTACAAAACAGGAGAGAGGTATTGACTGGCGGTGAGAATTACATGTTGAATTGTTGTGGAAAAGAAAGCACTGCTAAGATTAGGATAGCCTTGAAGGCTGGAAGCTTTCCAAGATCAATCTGAGGCAAGTGTCCAGGCAAAAATTTTTTATTAATGACTGTTAATCTCTCAGTCAACAATTAATCTTTGCAACCAAGTTGTATTCAAAGAGCATGTCATAAGATTTTATTTTCCTCTCAGTCCTCATAAGCATCCTTTGAAGCCAAAGTAAATAAGCAGTAGTGGTATTAAAACAGCTTAATTTTGTGATTTCAGAGGGTTATAAATGTTGATGGAGTGTTTCAGCTTGTTCAGAGAAATGCTCTTCAAATACATTAAATGAAATGAATTCCCAGTTTGCATGGAGGATGAAATGGAGTGACTCATATAGAGCAATAATAACTTAAGCACCATGAATAATCTTATGACTGCTTCAGATTAAGGCTGTTCGCTGTAATACATGGACTGAAACACCATGCATGTTTCATACACAGCCAAGGACGAAAAGAGGAGAGGATGTAGCAGGAACAAGGGAATCTTGATTGTTTGAAAGCTTTAATCAAGCCACATTTTGATTTAGAGCTGTTTAAAATTATTCCCAGGTTCACGATAGACCAGTAAAATTTATAGAAATCTCTGCCAAGACTGAGTAACTTAAGTGATGTCTCAAATTAACTTAATCTATCAAAATACAGCTAATTTTGGAGAATTTAACTTGACACAAAACACAACCCAATCATATTTAACCCTTCCGAGTAAGTGCATTTCTCATTTCTCTCCTTATGTACTGAAAATTGAATAATAACAGCATTATGGTATTACTAATTAGTGAAAGAGCAAGCTGATTTCTGGAATCAAATGAGCTGTGCTTTATTTTAAATTCCAAGAAAATTCAGTTAATTTATTAATTAGTCTGATGTATTTCTTGGATGAGCTTAGGGTCTTTTTTAAAGTGTGTAAAGCATATTTTTGGCATGCTAATTCATTGCTACTTACAATGATCTTTATCCATTTTTGATGGTCCTGGCCAAGCATTTTAACTTCTGTTTTGACATTGATGTATAAACCTGTGATTATTTTGTAAATTAATGTTTCAGTGCTTTGCTTAGTTTAATTTTGTGTTGTGTTGATTTAGGTGAAGGCCAATGACTCTGACATGGGACCCAATGGAGAGGTGACCTACAGCCTCCACCAGGCATCACCAATTGTCCAGAGGCTCCTTAGCATTGACCGCAACACAGGCACCATTTTCGTCAAAGGCTTGGTGGATCGTGAAGATATCAGCATGCTCAAGTTCTACGTCCAAGCTAAAGACAATGGTCCACAATCAAAGAGCTCCAAAGCCCTTGTGACTATTACAGTGAAGGACCTGAATGACAATGCACCCTCAATCAGAATCCGGGGCATTGGCCTTGTGACGCATGAAGATGGTGTTGCTAACATATCGGAGGACATGCCTGTAGGCACAGCTGTGGCTCTGGTGGAGGTATCAGATCGTGATGAAGGTGAAAATGCAGTTGTAACCTGTGTGGTGGCAGGGGATGTCCCATTCCAGCTGCGTTCAGCTAGTGAAACAGGCAACGACCGCAAGAGGAAATACTTCCTCCAGACAACCATGCTGCTGGACTATGAGCGGATCAAAGACTACAGGATTGAAATTGTGGCAGTGGACTCTGGCAACCCTGCACTATCCAGCACAAATTCCCTGAAGGTGCAAGTGACAGACATGAATGACAACTCCCCGGTCTTTTCGCCCTCTTTGTATGAGGTAGAAGTTGCTGAGGAGAACCAGCCAGGTGACAAGGTTCTTGATGTGGTAGCCACGGATGCCGACAGTGGGACTAATGCGGAGCTGACATACAGTATTGCTGGTGGATCAGTCCCCGAGGGGCTATTTGAAATTAACCCTAACACAGGAGAAGTGCGTGTCATGAGCCAGTTGGACCGTGAACAATTAGATCACTATCAATTTCTAGTCGCAGCAGCTGATAAAGGTGTACCAAGCTTGAGAGGAACTGCCACTGTTGTTGTTAAGGTGCTCGACAGGAACGACAATGACCCTAAATTTATGCTCAGTGGTTACAGCTTTTCAGTCCAAGAAAACATGCCACCCCTTAGTCCCGTTGGAATGGTAACAGTCAACGATCGTGACGAGGGCAACAATGCTCATGTTGAACTCTCTGTAGAACCAGACAATGGCAAGTTTATGATTCAAAATGGAACGTACACTATACTTTCGACTATTTCCTTCGACAGAGAAAAGGAGAGCACCTACAGTTTCCGACTTAAAGCTGTTGACGGAGGTGATCCACCACGTTCCTCCTATGTTGGCATTACCATTAATGTTCTTGATGAGAATGACAATTCTCCATATGTCACCAAGCCTTCAAACTCTTCATACAAGTTCTTGGATCCCCGCACCAGCCCAGAAACCCACGTAGAACGTGTTGAGGCGGAGGACATGGACATCGGTTTAAATTCGGAGCTGGAGTTCAGTATTGTAGGGGGCAACCCGCATGGCTTATTCCGCATCTCTTCAGAAGGTGAGATTACGTTGGCTAAAGAGTTCACATCCAAACACATTGGTCTCCACCGTCTGGTAGTAAAAGTTAAGGACAAAGGCGCGCCACCACGCCATACGACCGCACTGGTTCACATTTATGTCAATGAGACCATCGGCAATGTCTCCCACGTCGAAGGACTTGTTGGACACAGTCTTTATACGCCACTTGAAATGGACATTGCAGGAGATCCCGATTATTCTCGAGACCAGCAAAGTAGCATTATTTTTGCAGTCTTGGGTGGCTTTTGTGTGGTCGTTCTAATCATTGCAGTGGCTATGATCATCAGGCATGTCGTGCTGAAGGAGAATAAAAGTGGCTACCAGGCAGGCAAGAAGGAGACCAAAGACCTCTATGCCCCCAAACCAGGACCTAAGAGCAACAAGAACAAGAAGGCAAAGAAAAGCAAAGCTCCAAAGCCTGCCAACCCATCTGAGGAGGATGAGGGGGGGAGTCTCCAGAAAGGCCTAAAGTTCAACCTCATGAATGATAGCGTCAACGATAGCCCTAGGATTCACCTGCCGCTCAACTATCCCCCTGGGAGCCCAGACCTGGGGCGACACTATCGGTCTAATTCTCCTCTGCCATCCATTCAGCTTCAACCTCAGTCACCTTCTGCCTCAAAGAAACACCAGGCAGTGCAGGACCTGCCGGCCACCAACACCTTTGTAGGAACCGGGGACAACAACTCAACAGGCTCAGACCAGTATTCGGATTACAGCTACAAGGCCAACTCTTCAAAATATAGCACCAAACAGGTAGGAGACGACTTCGAAAGCATGGCAGGGTACCACAGAACAGGGTACCAAAGCCCAGGGTACCCCAGCCCAGGGTACCACAGCACAGGGTATCACAGCAACGGGTATCACAGCAACATGGTGTGGACTAAGGGCATGTATTAGGTGCTGGAACTGAATGAATGTCAAACCAAAGCTGCACTGATCACAAACCCCATGCACATCATTTGATTGAAAGATTTTTGTTTTATTTTTCTTCTTCTTCAATTCTGTAGTATCATTTATGCTCTGAAGGACTTAATTTAATTACTACTTATTTACATGAAGGAGACAATCCTATTCTTAGACAATCCTATAAGTCTTATTTCCATTTTCTTTGAGAGGGTCATTTTCAGCTGGACAGTGTTTATTTGCTGCCCCTCAAAAGATGAACAGAACTGCTTTCAAAAACCTTTGAAACACAGTTGTGATATAATAACCTTTAGACCAGAGAGATGTGCCTTATTTTTTGCTCTGAAAGACAACAAATAATAGCCGTTATTGCTTTGATGTCTTTTGTTAGGCTAGCTTTAGGTAATTGCACAATTGTTAATGTGTCAAAATGATTCTAAAAAGCATTTTTTTCTTCTTCATAAAGAAAACTGTGCACTGAGTAAGTTAAAATACGCAGGAAGGTCGGACAAGTAAGCTCAACATATTTGAATGTTTCCATGGCACATTTTGGCGGGCATTAAAAAATGTCTTTAATTATTTGGACCCTGTTTAGTTGGAGTTGAAGTGGGTTATTTTTACAGATTAATGGCGGGCAATTCCCCTATTCTTTCTCAAGCTTCATTGATCGTGCATGCAAAGAGTGCCTTCTTTTTGTTATGTACACAACTAAGTGGATTGGCTTAATGTAGATTAATAATCAGCTTCAGACGTCAGAGTGTGCCATCGAACATTGTTGAATTATTAACTGCGGGATTTTCGACCAGGCTGTGAAAAATGTCACGTTCACTGTAAATAGCAAGCTACTTGACATTAAAACTCTATCACTTTTCTCTAATACTTTTCTCTAGTACTGAGCAAGAAAACCAAAAATGAGTACCATTTTTCTTGGACTGTGTTAGCAAACCTTTGGAGACAATCATTGAAAAAGGTTTTTTGTTATGCAAGTTGTATAATGTGAATGTTAATAACCAGCTATATGTGATGTTGCGTGTGTGTGTGTGTGTGTGTGTGTGTGTGTGTGTTCATCCCTTATGATGGGTTTTGTTCTGTTGTGGAATGGCGATGAACAACCTAAATAGCTTTATATAGAAGAATTTGCTTAATCCGTTCTTAACAAACCAAACCTTTCTTAATACCAGATGTGTAAATAGAACCAACCAGATATATCTTGAGATCTCAGCTGCTTTGATAGTGGCTCCATCCTCCATTTTGTACATTTGAAGTCTGGTTGTAATTGAGATGTGTTTATATTTAAAGCAATAATAACGTGTGTTGTTATGCTGGAAAGATGCAATGTTGAAAGGATGTCCGGCAGGAGCGGCTAGTTTACACACAATGCAGCATACGCATGCAAGTTGTATACGACCCTTTGCGTTCTGTGTGGAGTGTGTATCATCTGTGGAGCTGTATTTAAAGCTGCAGACATCCCCATTTGTGTTTAATTTCTGTTATGTGTTATTTTGTTTCTGTTGATTTGCAATTTGTATTTTGTATTTTTTACAAGTAAAGCAAGTTGGCTTTCAATAAAACTTTTGTGAAGGTGTTACATTGTGGATTTAATGTTAAACAGAAACAGTGCATTGAAATTACTCACCAGGGGACATTAATTCTTAAGGTACAGTATTTAATTTCCATATTCCCATATTTATTTATGACATTGCCCTTTCTATATATCCCATTTTACCAGTAAACATTCACTTTTTATTTACTAACCGACACCATAAAAATGTCTACTTCAAAAACTATTTGAAATTCTCTCGGTACCAGTGAGCACAGGTCGATGAGCTTGCATTACCGCAGCTATTATTTCAAGCTCCCTAAGTTGATAGCTAGACACATGGATTGATTTTTCTTTACTATTCAGCAAGTATAGTTTTATAGTATTCATGCAATAATGTCAGTCTTATGTGATCCATGTCTTAACACAATTAATATGACACATTTACAGCATTGCTCCTCTGGGATCGAGCCAAACACAGAGTCACTGAGCTTTACAAATGCATTCATTTTTTTTTGTTGTATTTCATGTGTGTTTTTGTTTTTCTCATTCATGCTGCACGTCACAGGGACAAAATCATGTTCTAAGAGGATTTGAGCAGTGTAGACTTGGCGTATCCGAATGACCCTAGAGGAAAGTAAGGTGTTTTGTACAGGTCATTTCAATCAAAGCCCTTCTTTGGGTCCCATCCTTAGATTTGAGGAATGGGATCAAGGGATGGTTGTCAGAGGTCTTGTTAGGTTTTTTTGTACTATTCGATTGGCTCCTTGTATGCCGGCAGCTAATCTGGGCCCCAAAAAAGACACACACACCACACACACATACACATGCAGCCTTTCCTGCCACTGCCAGCCATTTAAATTCTAGCAGCATCTGCGCTTCTTAAAAGCTGTCGATTTTGCCCTCAGCTTGCACCATCACCATGGCAACGGACTGACCAGTGTGTGTTGTATGCTGACTCACAGACTGTTCTGAGTGCAGGTGGGGGGAGACAGGGAGAAAGACAGACTGGGAGGGATCATAGATAATGGTGTTCGAAAAAAACAAAAACAAATCTGTCATTTCACACCATTCTTCCATGTACTCAGTTGATGGTGCATCATGCTAATGGAAGAAACAGGCCATTTATTCATTCATTTGGTCACATTCCCTCCTGTCATTGGTTAGTGCTGTCCACTTTATCATTTTTTCATGAAAATCCACTTGTATTGAATATTAGACTCTACTGTACCTTAAGTTTGTCATTGTCCCTGTGTTTTCCTCTCAATGACAGAAATCCAAAGAAGGGGATAATGCAGCCTTAAAACAATTCCTATATGTATATATGCATAGCATTTCATTTCTATACGTTGTTCGGTATGGAATATCATGCAAAATATAGCATAACGGTATTAACAAGGCAGCAAAGTTATCATTCATATTTTTAAATTCGTTAAAAGAGTTTTAGCTTTGCATGCTTTTCTAGCTTCCACTCGTTTCTCCCGGCAATAGAAACTTCAGTCGGAGCGTGATTGCGAATTAGTGAATGTCATTTTGAGTGGATGTCGGTCCTTTTATGTTTCCATGGTTTAGGAAAACAGGAGTTGGAAGATAAAACAAGAAGCTGTCCATTTCTTCTAAGTTGTGTCTCTTTTTCCTCTGTCTCGTGTGGTGTGGTCTTGTGACTGTTACAGAGCGAGAATCTTATTTTGTGAAGTGTGAAGTCAATTATGCAAAACAGTTCTGTGGTCCAGGCTGCGGTACATCAGCTGCAAGTCACCCTTTAGCAGTCCATGGCTTCAGTAGTATCTTTATCTCAGCAGTCTGTCCACCTTTCTCTCCTTTAAATAAATAAGTGCCTACCATTGCTTAGCGGTTAAACAGGCGGAACAAACTCGCCAGTAATAATCGTGACTCATCTGGAGAGAATATAGCTGAAGGGAAAAAGAGAAAAACAAAATAGTTTCAAAGGAATATTAAACACCCAGCTTTATTTGCATTATTCAGGTGTTGTCGTTGACAATGCAAGGCTAATCAAAATAAAGCGCTGTTAATTGTGATGATGGCCATTTTTCCTCCCTTCTCCCACCTTGACTTGTCTTTTCTTGACACATAGATAAGATGGAGAATCATTAGCTTTGCTTTGTATAACTCCTGCAAGAAGCCCCAGACTGATAGCATCTTTTGTGTGCATTTCGCGGGGGAAATTGCACCGTTTGGAGTGATGCCACTAAATTGCACATGCTCTTTGCACACTGATTTTACATGCTTTGCAATACTTGTGCATATTTCTGCTACATAGGAAAAAGCCATGACTTGGTAAATCATAATCATGATGTACAAAGTTAAAATTGAGATACTAAGTCGTAATTATGAGATGACAAATTCAAATTGACTTAAACTGAGATTTATGGATGAATGTCGAAATGGAAATAAACATTATGACGAATGATAAAACGTCAAGTCGGAATTATGAAATACTAAGGCACATGAGATTATGCAAGTCAATTATGAGATAAAAGTCTAAATTATGACAAAAATAGTTACGTCATAATTATGACTAATTATCTCAATATGTTTTTTCCCCCCTATGTGGCAGAAATGGGCTTTCACAGCCACTGTGGAACTGGTCATTTCTGTCACTGCACCCATTCTTTTGAGTTTTGTTGTAGGAAGGGAAGAAGGAAGGATAGATGGAAGAAAGGAAGGAAGTGACAGTGACATTTCTTGTGTTTTGAGCTTTCCTTCAGGTTTTGTTGAGGGGAGGAAGAAAGAAAAGAAGTGGAAGGAAGTGACACATGGCATCTGTGTCAGTGCAATGCCATTCCCTGAGTTTTACCGAGAGGAAAAGTTTGAGATGGAAGGAAGGAAAGTAGAATTTCTGCCTTTTGAGGTTTGCAAGTTTTGTTGAGGAAAGAAAGGACGGAACGAGTTGTGGATAGCTCTGTTACTTCACTTCTCAATAGTGTTTGAGGTGTGAACCTAATGAGACACATAACTAAGCTTGTCTTTTTGTTTGTGTTGGCCCATGACACACTGTTGTAATCTAATTAGCTGCCAGGGCTTTTCATAACATGTTTTTTTTTTTTGTTTTGTTTTTTAGGCTTGTTGTGTTGTACTCCTAAATTTTAAATGGCATAATACCATGAAGATGTCACTTACTACATTGCTTAAAATTTTGGCCCCTTAGCGCCTCCATGTTACTGCTGTGCTTGTTTCACAGGATGCATCGCCCGTCCTGTGGGCTTAAATCTGGGACAACAGTGGCAGACAGGTAGATGGCCATTTTGACGCACACACAAAGGAGTGATTTTACCTCTTTGTAATCAGT